CTTCTGGCATCCACTTTGGGCTTTTTCTTTCCTTTCTTGTCTTTTAAATGACCTTTGGCTATCTTCAAGTAGGATGTTTCTGGTGTTATCCCACAACTAAACTGTCCAGTCATTAATGTTCAATGTGTTAAATCTACTGTGAGATTGTCTCTCAAGTGAGGTATATATACTCAAGGTCATTTTTGGCTCTTGAGGGTTTAATTTTCTTCAGCTTCCACATGTATGTTCAGACAAACAACTGAGGTTCCACAGTCAGCCCTACCTTCGTTGAGCCTGTGATAGTGAGTCACAGTCTCTTGCCACAGATGTTCGGTATGATTCTTGTATATTGCATCTGGCAAGGTCCAGGCGTACAGCTGTCTTTTACATTGCTGAAAAACGATACAGTGTTACCTGGTTGCCGAAAGGCTCCAAGCTAGAATTTTACAGTACTCAAACAGCAAAGTTAAAAAAAAAAATCTGCGTGGTGTTCATATTTTTGTTTGATAGTCGAACTGAATATCTTACTTAAAAAACCTATATGGACTGAGAGTGAGTCACAGGTCGTTTCCCTGTGGACACAAAGAGGTGACACTTCAGTCTAAGCTCACCCTCGCTCAGACAACATACAGTGCGAGGCATTGTGAGGGGATTCAAACATTTGTTATTGTGTTTTTTTGAGGGGGGGTGCTTTGTGTAAAATACCGTCATTTTATTTATCATGTTTGGGTGCTTGGGTATTCAAAGCACTGTATTTATTGTGTTTAGATGTTTTAGAAGGTATTTCCGCAACCTCTCTATCTTTTAAAGTCATATACTTGTTTTATATATAATGTTCAGGATTTAGTTGTACTTAGTAGTAAGTATAAAGGACCCTGGTGGTATCGTGGGTTACAATTTGCACTGCAAACTGCAAGTTTAGCAGTTCAGAACTGAGACAGTTTATTGTGCCAGGCTGGCTGATAAACGCAGGTGGGATTGACTGAGGGGCGGAGAGATGGATGGCTTGGTGAGCCTTGCCTTTCTTGTCTCTCGCTCTGTGATCATCGGACCAGTGTGCGGCTGCCTTGCTTGTTCTGTGCTTTAATTTAAAGGCTACAGAGCCTGTGGGACGCCTAGCCTGTGGACTGTGTTGCTGTAAGTTGAAGTCCCTTTAAGACTTCTCTGGAGCTGGGAACTGGCAATTGGTGACCTGCCTTGTGATTGGCTGCTGTGCTGACATAACCTAGCTCTCTCTACAAATAGAGGAAGATCTGGCATCAGATAGAGACTGGAAGGACTGCTAGTCACTCAACTTTCTCTCACGGACGTGAGTTGTACTAAGCCGTTTATAGTGCTTCTAATTTAACTGTTTATTTCTTGTGTATTTATCTGTATATGATTGTATATTTATCTGTATATGATTTAAGATTGTATATTTATCTGTATATGATTTAACATTTCATTTCTCGTTATATATCTAATTATCTTTATGATTTAACATTTCATTTCTTGTTATATATTAATTACCTTTATAAATAAATATATTATATTATCAAGAATTTGGTTTTATCTCTCTAGAGAACCCTGTCTAACACAAGAACCACCAGCCATTCTGTAGGAAAGATGAGGCTTTCTACTCCAAAGAGTTATAGTCTTAGAAACCCACAGAGCCAGTTCTACCCTGTCCTACAGGATACCTATGAGTCAGAATCTATTTCAAGCCAGTGAATTTAGTTGAGAGAGTAGAAGTATAGGTATAAGTATTGGGGGGTGGTTCTGTCCATTGTACTCCATTCCTTATAAATTATTTGCTCTTGAGTTAATTCCAACTCATAGCCACCCGTGTGTGTCACAGAACTGTTTGCATAGGGTTTCATAGTGGACTGTTTTGAAGCAGATTGCCAGGCCTCTCTTCCAATGTGTCCCTGGACTCAAATCTCCAACCTTTAGGTTAGCACCTGACTATATTAAGCATTTGTACCACCTCCCCAATCTATACTGTCTTTCCAATTTAATGAAGAGAGTAGTCTCATCTTATCAGTATGCTACCCGGAATCTTTTGATTTCCAAGACTTACAGTGTAAAGTCCAAACTCCTCTGGCTGCCAGGAGAGAAGCTCCACAGCCTTACCTTTCCACTGGTCCCCGTCACAACTCCTCCATTCAGGATGGTGGCTCTGTTCTTTGAAACTGTTTTAAACATACCCACTTATGAGCTTCTCTCTGATTTCCTTTACCAAGAACCCCCTTCAGCCTGCGCCCTGTCTGTCTTAATCCTCATATCTTTCAAGGCTCTATTCTATCAATAAATCATGGTCTATCCTCCAGCCCACAGTGATTTCTGTCTGACTGCTATGACAATTATTCCCTGTAGCAACCCTTTGTATTTTCTTTCATACTATTAGTACGCTTTCATCAATAAGTTATGCCTTCCAATATATGTAGACTCCTTAAGGACAAAGATTACATCTTGTACTTCTTCATATATGCTATATAGCTTGATACAATGCCTGGTACATAGCAGATACTTAATGAATGTCTTGACATGATTTCTTTCTTGATTTGACATGAGAATAAGTTAAAACAACGGAATGTTGTATACATAAACCACTATAAAAACATGGTTTAGAAAGTATTAACACAAACCCAACTATGTAACCTAAAAGAAAAATAACTTTCTTCCTTCTTTAATTCAATTAAATCTTATTAATCATCAACTAACCTAAGGCCAGATACTGAGGATGTAGTGATCAATAAGGCAGACACAGTCTCCACCCTTATCAAGTTGATAATTTAAAATTCACATTCTTAAACAAAAAGGATTTATATGAGGTTTCCTTGAAAATGCTCTACTACTGATAAAGGCAATGTAAACTCTAAACTGCACCAATACAAATGACTATAAAGAACAATGAAATAGTAAACGGAAAAAACAACAAATGCTATGAGGCTTGCGTGACCAGTTGAAACATTGACTGACAGCTTACAAAGAAAGAACTTGCTGGTGTTGGTTCAATTAATCTTAATAAAAGTGCTCTAGTGAGAACAAAAATAAACAAATAAATAGAAATAAATTTCCTCAGGTATACAGTATTCTCCAAAACAAAAGGCACAGGTAACAGTGGAGTCTCCAGGAAGGGAATGGGTGGTGGGTGATAAAGAGAGAAGGGAGACTTACTGTTCTTTGTATACCCTTTTGAACCTTTTGAATTTTGAACCATGTGCAAATATTACCTATTCAAAAAAATAAAAAAAATTAAAGCTGAAATGTCAACTATAAACAAATAGTAACTTTCTGTAAGGAAAACAGGGAAGGGGGGCAGATTTTAAACAGAATCTTTTGAGATCATTTCAACTATATCCTAGATCTTGCTACCTCAAACCTCAGACGAAACATTTCAACATACTTGAGTTGCCTGGATTTTCTGACAGCCTCCAACCAAACCACCAGCGACAATACCGGTCACCCTGGTCGCTGGTGCCTTCCTCTTTGTCGGATGTGTCAGGAACTCAAATCCGTCAACTGTGCGTTCTACTACACACTCACAAGGGCCAGGTCTGTGTCTACCTTATGACTCCTTTCACCTCTCACACTTAGCACAGGTAAATGTAGAAGAAACCAATCAACGTTCCCCTCAATCTATAGCTAGTTTACAAATCAAGTTTTTGTTTGTTAGACAGTCAATAAATACTGGTCTATTATATGAATAAACCATTCTTGCTGCCTTAATTACCAATTACTCACACAAAATACAAATCCATCTCCAACGTTTACTACTGCCATTTACTATCATGTGCATACTCTTCCTGCACGAGTCTCCTGCATGTAATCCTTTCTCCTGGCTCCTTGTGTCCATGGCAAACACTTTGTCAACTAGTTCAATTTCTCTCCTACATTTTCACAACCACTGTTCTTAGAAATTAACATCAGTTTACCATTATTTGAAAGAATGTTCATCACCCATACTTTGTAATATTTTATCAGATTAAGAAATAACTTCCTCATTTGAGTTATCCCTCTCAAAATATCTCCCATATTGCTGTTTTCCAAAGCATGCAAACTTCAAACTATTATAGGCCTATCTTTTAAGTATCTTTAAGACCTCGATTTGTTCAGTGATACAGCTCTCCCAGCTGTGTAAAAAAGAACTAATAAATAATTCTTACCAGTAGCTGTTAAACTTGGTTGGTAGTGGTGGTGGTGGTGGGGGGGGTGTTGTTGTTACTTCTTCAGTTCTCTACCCTCCTCTCCAGCTTAATCTTGTCTCCCATCTCTAACTTACAATAAGTTATTGTCTCTTCACAAGCATCGTAAGCTCTTATTGTAATCTACGTATATCTAATTCTCTATGTCCTACTCATACTTCAATTGTCATCTTAACTATGACTTTCTTGGACAAGCCTTCCTTGTTCTTCCCCTTCTCCTAGCTGCCAAATGGGGGACTTTTAGACATGCATGAGAAAATTCCACTATCTTTTCATTCCTTTTTTCCCACAAACTTTTGGAACTCCCTGTATTCTCCCATCTCTCCCTGTCATTCTCGTTGACAATCCTCATCACGTTCTATATATCAGTCTGTGAGCCCCGCCATTCTGTTGTTTTATTCACAGCTGTATTCCAAAAGCACCTTGACACAGGGCCTCATGACTAATACACCTTTAAGGAATATTTGATAACTAGTTAACTAACTGATTAGCACTAGCTTCACATTTTACAAAACTGTTGGAGTATCTTTACATATACTTTACAGATACAAAACATCTGCTGGGGTATTTCACAGTTAATCAGAGGCTTAATGAATGGATTTAATAAGGAGAAAATTACAATAACAAATTTAGGTCAGCATATAGAACAATGTCATCATTTCAAATTATTTCTATTAGTCATTCAGTGCTAACATTTAAAAGATAATAACCCATAAAAAATTATCTCAAAAATAATGTCTAAAATTTAATTGGAACGTATACCATTCTAACACAGATTTAGCTGTGACATTAAAAGGCACCTTTAGTCATTACAGTAGCATATACATTACCTACCATATGTGACATTGTGATTTAACTCGGCTCTTCGTAAGGATTCATCGAGGACATCATACATTAATTCACTTGTCCTGTTCAAAAGATATTTTATTTACAGTCGAATTATAATATTCTAACCAAAAAATTTTTCCCAAATATTCTTGCTTTTAAACTGAAGACTTACAGAAGTGAAAGAAATTCGTTTTATAATGAACTGAACAAATTTCCCTTATTGAAGATTTCCTTTACTCTTCCTTTATAATTTTCTTTGCAATAAGATATTTCCACATTTTAAGTGACTATAGCTATAACTCACATATCCAAACATTACAATCTATTACTATCTGTATTATAAGTAGATATTTTTCAAGATTATTCAAATAATGGTCTTTCTTTGATCAGCAACTCTATATACACACACATTTTTAGTTGCAGGAGTATCAATATTTACTTTTAAGACTGTGTCCATGGGTCATGTTCTCAGGACAACAGGAAAATTACAAACAAGTAGATATGGGTGGGAGTCATAAGTTCTCTTACAGAAGTCTGCAATTGCTCACACCAGGCCCCAGATCCACTTGCTTTTCCAAGTAAGCATGCTAAGGTGACATATTTGAGTTGATCACAGTCTTCTAACTGTACATTAGATCATGTATCCTGTTTCTCTTTCCTGAATACAGGGCTGCTGCTGGTCATGTTGGCTCGTATGTCTCTGGTCTCATGTCTCCTCTGCTGTCTTTTTTGCTGCCACATGAGGTCACTTCCCTACCACTACTGGAATTGGGTTCCTGTCTTACCAAGAGAAAGATTTACACTTGGAAGCCATAGGGCATCACAAGAAAAGGTTTTATTTAGCAGCTCCTAGGAGGAAGAAAAGTTTACCCAGCTAACATAGCTGGATTTAGCTTTTCTTGCCCCACCCTCACCCCCATCACATCGAGAGCTTTGTTAAAAGTTCCTACGCACAGGAGACCCTCAGGAACTTCCTCTAGGCTAACATGGGGTTCTAGGAAATGTAGTCCACGATAGGAAGTTCATTTTATCTTATAACTACAAAGCATTATGGCTCATGGAATTAATAGATTTGGATCATTCACGTGTCTTGATAGTCACTTATCAAAGTAAGTTATTGAAGTAAGTACTGTGGGAAAATGCAGTGCTTTATTGAGTACTAAAGCTCTACCACAAAGCAGACAAAATTCCTCCCCAAGAGGCCACTGTGAAAATGATGGATTCTCTGCTGCTATTCTTTGGTGTGTCTTACAAAGGGGGGTGGGGGGTGGGGGATAGTGAGGGGTTAAGGAATAAAACTGCAAGCTTTTCTAGTTTCTAGGAGCAATGGCCAGGAGGAAGGTCTAATTACAAAACTAAAGAATTAAAATGTACACTACTGCATAAAAGAGAACCAGATCTCAGAAAAAGAAGTGAAAACACTGTTTATCAAGCATTTCCTAAAACATATATCTATTAAGGGCTGTAGGTACACAAAAAACTCGAGCCACTTTGCTCTTAAGTGAACTACAATCTATGTTGGGCATGTTCACAAGTGATGAGAAGAATGTTTTTAATAAAAATAATCTATGCATGCATGTACATGCACATTCATAGAGGAACTTAGAATGATGAAATAAAGGTAAATAACCAATGAATTTAGGTAAAATGTAAACAGAGTTCTGTGCACTAATCTTGAAATTTCTATAAACAGCTTTTTATTTTACTATAATTTAAAATATGTATACATAATAAGAAGGTACCCATAAAAGTTTAATATAAATTACTGGTCAAAAGAGTAATTCAGATGATCCAATGAAGACGGTGAAGTCTTCACCTCTAACTGGATCAAGGGCTGCCCACAGACTTGATCTGGTCTGATGCCTGTTACTGTACAGCTGTAAACTAAGAATGGGTCTTACAGTTTTAAATGGTTTGGGGAAGAAAAAAAAGGAGGATTACGTGAAATTCAAGATTTGGTGTTCCTAAAAAGTTTTCCTGGAATGCAGCCATGTTCATTCGTTTACATTATAATATACGACAGCTTCCGTTTTAACAGTGGAGTTGAAAAGTTGTAACATATGTTCCACAAAATCAATGCTATTATCTGGTCCTTCCAGACAAAGGTGGCCAACTGCTGAACCGAGAGAAGTCACAGAGGAAAAGGAACCTCGCAGGCTCCATCTCTTCAGCAAGAGCCAGGATTATCCCAGCAACGTCTCTGAAGGGCTGTACTTCCTACAGCGGTTTCTTTAGGTGACGAAAGTCTGGGAGCTATCATGTACGATGGGGTCATTAAGGAGTTTACTTAGAAGAGTTTACCTCCGATCATCTTTTCCTAGAAGTCCCAGTATCCTCAAGAGTTGAATTTGTAGCCACGGTGCTGGCACGCTGTGGTAATTGAAATCTACTGGGAGCTTTCCTCCAACTACTTGCTTCAAAATTGTTACAAAGCTTCCAGTCAAATCTTTATATCCAGATGCATTCTCCTACACCCAAAAGGCAAAAGAAAAAGTCATCTTTCAATAATAATACCTTCTCAAATACAAACAGACATGGTTGAAATGGCGTAATCAACAATGTATAGAACCTTAGATGATACATGCTCATTACAAGTTTCATGTTTCACATTTAATAAAGCAGTACTCTAATGGGTATCATTTTTTTCTTTTCTTTTTTCTTTTTTTATTTATTTATTTTGGGGGGGGGTGGTATCATTTTTTTCATGATTAAACTCCAGCTACCTTTCCCTAGTCCCCTCTTGCTCCCACACACAGTTCAATCACACTTTAAAAGTTCTTATAGCTTAGATAAAACTCTTAAAACCCAATCAGCAGCAATTAGGCAAAAAGGAAGATGAGCTGCCATGCAGAGAACGGGCAGTGAAACCTCTACTTCTGATGACAATTAAGGCCTGCGTTCCGCCTCTACCCTTTCCACAAGAGTTCCGTGTAAATGAAATTGAGCCTGAAACTGTGTGAAAAACACGATGTAACTGGCATTTCCCTGGTCACTAGTACGGGGAAGCAGGGGTTGGTAATATTAATGCCCACTGCTTTTTTACCCCCCGTTTTATTGGCACAAATTTACATTGGGGTTTTTTAATATGCACTGCACACCATACAGTACATTGTACAGATTTTATCGTACAGTGCATTGGGACATGAGAAGTGCTATGGAGTGAAATAGAGCAGGAGTGTCATCAAGGAGGTGGCTTTCAAACACATCTCTTCTGTCCTTTGTCCACTGTCCCCAGCCCCTTGGCTTTCAGCTTGTAGCAAGTGCATGATGGCAGCCATAGCCCACTCATTTTTAAAAATAAAGTTTCACTGAACACCGTCACATTCACTCATTTATGTGTTGCCAATGGCTGCTTGAAAGGAGCCCACGTGGTGCTGTCATGTAAGTGCTAGACTGCTAACTTTAAGGATGGTGGTTCAAATCCACCGGCGGCTGCTCTGCAGATGAAAATGAGCCTGTATGCTCCCGTATATATTAATGAAGCCTTAGAAATCCTTTATAGAGTGGCTATGAATCGGAATCGACTTCATGGGAGTGGGTTGGCTTTTTTGGTTTACATCTGCTTAAAGGAGTCCTCAGGTGGCCCAAATGCTTAAGTGCTGAACGACCAACCCAAAGGCCGTTATTCACACGCACTTGACCGAAGGCCTGGCGGTCTGCTTCCACGTCACAGCCCTGAAAACCCTGGGCAGTGGGAGTCCAGTCCACACTCCGGGTCAGAAGTGACTGGAGGACAACAAGCACCATTAGGGCTGCGTTTCTGCTCCACCGACAGTAAGTACAGCAGCCCCCACAAGGCTCGCACCCCGAAACATTTTCTATCTGGACATTCAGAGAAGGCTTGCTGAACTCTGACGCAGGGCACATCTTCACTGAGTCGTGAACCACTTGTATTTACTCATCAGCAATGCGATTTTCCATCGTCCGACCGTCTTTCTCTTCAGTTGTTTATCCTTTCCTCACGGATTTTCTTTTCACATACTGAAGATATCACCCTTTTGTCTATTTCATGGGTTGCAAGTATTTTGGCCATGCTTACAAAAATAAAGGAAAAGGGCCCTCTAGTTAACTAGTGGTACAAATATATATTGCTCTTTTAAAATATAGTAATTCTACTTTTAGGGATTTACTTTGTAAGAATATATCCTAGAGGCACATTGAAATATGTATAAAGAGGTTTACTGTAGAACCCTATAGTAGAAAAGTACAAGTTACGTATGTCTGTAAATGTGTACATATGTGAATTACATACCTATATTTTATACATACTTAATGTGCATTACTATAAATAGGTCTGTAATGTCGCAACATCAATTAGTACTAACATGGTCACAGAATGCATCTGAAAGAAATGCTAATTCACAAGACTAAATAAATCTATACCAAATAATAAACGCTATTTGTACTTAAGAGTGCTTACTTGGGTTTTTTCTTTTTTAACTTGTTAAGCATGGCAGATTGAACACATGCTTATTCCTACACAAAAGCTAATAAATTGGTAATAAAAAA